TGCGACCACTAATGAGTTATGCTTCGTGTAAGTCTTTACAATGACTGTGGAAAATGGTTAAGTCCCAGAAATCAATTTTAAGCCTCCCAGTGTGACGGCTGGGAAGTGTCTCCATCTTCCAAACCAGAGATGGACGGGTCCTAAGCGTCTACCATCTTATGTCAGTGGGCAACGGCCCCAAAAAGGCATGATCAGGCAACACCAATCCTCGCCGCGACTCGGAGTAAAGTGTGGGAGAAGCAGCGATTGCAGAGGCCGGGCTGTGGCTCTGGGGACCTGCCCCGGGCTCTCCTCCTCGGGCTTCTCTCCGAGCCGTGCCCACAGGTACCAGCCCAGCCCCGTGCACCACTGTGAACCAGCACAAGCCCATACACCGGCCTCGTGAGAGGCTGCCACGTAATAGACAAACCACAGCGAACTGCAACAAGCCTCTAAAAACCCCTTTTCATAAGAAAAACTGAAGTAATTGGACTTATCCTTGGATATTTTTGAGATTTAAGTACATTTTTATGGAAGACTAACTTTTTTTTTTTTTACCATCAGAATGAACACTCCATATTTGATATTTGCGGGGTGTGAGTAGAGGTGTCCGTAACGGTGATGCTTCCAGGTTCCTCAGTCATCATCACGCTGCGCAGCAGGGAAAGCTCCAAAAGTGCTCCAGCTGGCACAGAGAGGCCCTCAAATCTTTCAGCCCTGCTTGGAAAGCAGAATCGGGACAGCACAAATGTGCTGTGAGATACTTCTCAGCCCCAAACTTGACCTGTGGGTCTTTTAAACAGTGAACACTGGCAGTGGCTGTTCACATGGACCTACAGCTTCCCAGATTTTCCCTGGGTGAGTGGTGGGGTGGATGGACCTCTCTTCCCAAGGGCTCATCAGTGCCATGGAGCCAGGTGGGAAGGTCAAGGGGAGGTGTTAAGAGTAAGGCAGCAAAACACCAGCAGGTGTAATTGCGTTCTCTAGCAAATAGATATAAGAGGGAAAAGTGTAGTAAACAGGAGAGAGTTAGGGACTTTTTTTTTTTTTTTTAATGAAAACCAGGAAGTTAAGAAACTCAAAAGATAAGAGCAAAGGAGGATGTCTAAGAAGAAACAGTTGATAACGTGCCATGATAAGGAAACTGTTATTTCCAGAAAAACATGTTCAGCAAGCAGGAAATACAGAACAAAGTGAGGCAAATTATCGTGTTCCAAACAAAGATGCTAAAACCATGCTCTTTTTTATTCCCTCAACATTTAAGTGTCCAGATAGCTCCAGTAAAGTAATAGTTGACATGATCACTCATATTAAGCTCCAGCAGTAATATCACAATGCATGCCAGGGAAACACATGTTAAAACTGAAGTAGTAATGCAACTGAAAGCCTTACCTAGAATGTAGGCTTTACACTAGTTTAAAGCAGTCTCTGAAAACTTAGCAAAACACTGTCTAAAAAAAACCCCTCCATATGTCCAAAAGTTTGCTTGGGAGATTTTTTTGAGTTTTTAATGGAACAGAGATTTAACTCCCCTTGGCATTAACAAGCCAGTTTCTTTCTTCAAATAATACCTATTTAACTGGCTTCCATTAAAGTTACTTGGTGTTGTGCATGCTCACGATTAGGCAGCATTTGCTTTCCAGCAACGTGACAATGTTCAAGAGAAGCGTGTCATTCTTACCAACATAAATAATTTCAGTCCAGTCACTCCAAAATCCTCTCATACAACATAGGTGATGATTAGCTCTTATTTGTACGGAATACCTGCTGGTAACATCGATTCGTAATCTGAAGTCGTTTGAGGATATTTTCAGTATCTGTTAGGAAAACAATACTGTACTGTTACAGATTACTTAAGACTAAACAATGCACAAAACAAACTTTAATCATGTTTATCTTTTTAATTTTTTGAAACTCCTTTTCTAGATTAACAGTGAGCATCTGGCCTTGCTTTTGAAGTAAGATCTCTGTTTCTACAGGTGTGTTTTCTCTCATAATACACCTACATTTCAGGGCAAATGCTTGAAAGATGCCTCATTTTTGCATTCTTCCTTAAGACACTTAATGCTGAATTTTCAGAATTAGCCATCCTCCTACAGCTCTGAACCCAGACGCATAAAACTAACTAACTCCAATTTTTGTCCCTCTGCTTTCCCAGACCTCTTGGGGATAGTTTGTTGCAGACGTAAACGATGTCCAAGAAAAGAGGAAAAATATGAAAACTAATGAGACTTTGGCTTTGCTGAACCCTAGTCACAAATGGGACACAAGTTTCACCAAAAGCCCATAGTTTCAAAAATGTACTAGTAACAGGTTTTATTTTAAATGTTTTAAAATTTGTAGCGTATCATATACATAGATCTATACAGAGACTTTTGTGGACACATCCAACGTAACCTATACACAGACTTTTTCACCAGGCTGCATAAAGGCAAATTCTAGCTCTATAGAAGTCAGCCCAGAGACAGGAACGCTGTGTAGTACTTGGGCATTAAAGAAGCAATTACCTGCTTGTTACCTGACTTCAGGTTGAAGAGGTAAAATTCATATTCAAAACATTCTTCAGAGAAAGGAGAAACTGGCTTCTCCCACGTGGCCAGGAGATCATTTTGCTTTAAGAATACAGTGACGTTTCTGGGAACATTCACTTTCTCTACAAAAAGAAAACTGTACTGGTAAGTTACTTATAGAGCAAAGTTTAAATACTAACAATTGGAGCACCTTAGAAGCTGATAGTGTTTCCAAGCAGAACCAATAATCCTTGAATTTATTTCATGTTTTGGACAGAAAAGGTAAGGATTTAGGAGGAATAACTATACTGGAGAAAATATTTAAGGGAAAACAGTTGTTAAAATCCACTTAAAAGTTCTGGAAAGCTAGATTACTGGGTGGGGAGTGGATTTATTAAATTAATTTTCACCAAAGCATGAAATTTATGATAGAACAGTTAAAAAAAACTTCTTTTCAGGAAAAAAAAAAACAACCCAGATGTAACCAGGAAAGTTACTGAAAACTGCAAAAAATTCAAAGGAATGGACCAGCTATTATGGGGATGATTTCTAAGAAGAAAGTATGTCAACTGTTTTATCTTAGTGAAGCCATGAAAAAGGGAAGTGTTACCTGGTTACAAACAAGTGAAAGGCATGAAACTAATGAAGGAAAAGAAATTATTTGAGTGGATGAACGATGATAGACAGTCATGGCTGACACTACTTTTTATTTGACAGTCTAATGCCTTTCTTTAAAAGGACATAGTTATCTTGACCGTCATGCATCTTCTGCCTTTTAAAGAAAGGCTGTAAAATAAAAGGTAGCAAAAACTGTATTTGGAGGTATATTAACTAAATCAAATGAAAGTTAATATTGGAAATAACGCTTTGGCTAACAAATAGAATAATTGTATTTTCTAGCTTTTTATTCTTTCATTCTATAATATTAAAATCAGTTAGTTAAACCCATCCATTTCTGTCTTACAATCTCTTTCAATTTCCTTATGTCTATGCAAAACCAGCACATACTTTCACCTGCATCAAGAACCATTCAATCTAGTAATATTCCCTCACAAATCTTTTGACAATTCTGCTAGACATTTTTAATTTTTTTAAAAAAAAATATTTATTTCTACTTACCAATGGCATTTTGGTTAAATAACTGCTGAAAAGGTTTGATTGCAGCATACTTGCTAGACCCATTAATGTGTATTACGACGAGATTGTCAACCTCTTCAGGATCAATATGAGTCACTGGAAATCTGCACTCAGTATTCCTGTTCCATTTGTCTTTGATATAATCTTGACATTCTTCAGTGTACGTCTCATACCTAAATTAAAATACTCGTGAGACATGATGCTCTTAAAGAAAACCATTGCTGACTAAAATGGGAGAAAACACCAACCTGTAAAATAGAAAGTAATTGGTATCTTCTGGTGCCCCTTGGCCAGGAAGCCAAGTGCAATGGAGGGAAACAGTATGAGAAATGGTGATGCGAGTAACACAGGACAAATTAGTGACAGATGTCTCTGGAGCACCTAGAGAGTCAAGGAATTATAAAGCAGAAAGAAAAATCTTATTACAATAGTTGTAAGAAACTCATGTTGCTAAAACATTTTGATTACAGTCTTTGGTCAATTATATCTATGTCTGTTGTATCCAGTTCTCTTCCTTATCACAC